GCCAGCCTCTAGCCTGACGCTGTTGCTGTTGCCGCTAGTTCTCGCTATGCCTTTTCGACCTTAAGTCGGCAACATAGACGGTCACCCGCGGAGGACATTGCATGCGCATTAAGCAGCCAGCATGCTTTTAGCGCTTACCGACAAAAGCACGCCAGGACATAGTAATAAGGAAAGGTTTATTTGATATTCTCACCTCGCCTCCCGCATTCACTCAATCGTCTTTCATCCGCTATTCATTGCAAAGAAGATCGATAGCAAGCATCTTAACAACTTAGGCTCGCACGCTCGATAATAAAGCCTTTCTACCTGCAGCAAAACCAAAACGTAGGAACTGTAACATTAACAGACGAACAGTCCCCTGCGATATCGAGGGGTTAAAATGCAGCCAGTTATAGCCTACTTGTACATTGTGAGAAAAAAGTCTAGCTAGAGAAAAGGCAGAAAATCCATGACGTTATAATTACTAAGTCTTGGTAAAGCCATCACCTTAATAGCTGCTATGACCCTATTACAAAGAAAAACTTTTGAAAAGGCCCATGGTCGTTTCGTCAATATACATATTTCGGTCAAATTTTGGCGGGCTGCTTATCATATGTGTGCATTCAGTTGCTACTTTTTGGTACAGGTAGAGCGTCAGTCCTTTTTGGAGAAGACACAGGTTCATCATGGCGAAAAACAATATGGCGTTTTCGGAATATGCAGCAAGATCAGCTACTGTGCAATAACTTTGCACGATGTGAACTCCCGTCAAAATCAGAAGCCTTCTTTCTTAACCGATATTGAGAATGTACGTTATTGCCACTGCATCTGCACTTTTTGGGATATTTCTATGAGACGTATCGGGGATTTTTTAATAAAGTTAAAGGGTCCAAAAACTCACTGGACACATTCAAAAAGCACACACCTGAATTTTTGATACAGAAATTAACAAATATTTCGGAGAACATCAGTTAGCCAAATAAGTTACAACGACTGGTCTTTTGGCAGCCGTTGCGCCTTCGGTACTTTTTGGTTTTTTGTTATACTGTTGAGACTCTTGACCTGCTATCGGCCTAGAATTTCGTTCCGCTGAGATTTTTTCTACCTAGCGTGTTCAAGCGACACATTAACAAGTCTACACGTACTATTGTTGCCTGATGCTACTAAAATTTATTTGCGGAGTTTGGAGACAATATTTAAAAATGACGGCTAAACGATTTAGGTTTTGAATTGGAGCTGTAATCGCGGCAAATAGTAGTTATATTGAGCAAATATGACCGTCTGAAATGACGCTCTTAGCAGATGTAAACAAAAATTCGTTGAAATATATATTTTTTCTTTAGAGAAAACGTCTCAGGTTCACACCCTACCCTGTCTCTATATATATAGACGAAAATATAGACATGAATTTTGTGTGGGATAACTTTCGTTTGATAGAGATTGTCTCCAGTTGACTTTGCAGTACGCAGAGTCACGTTTGCAGGGGTTGGCTAGCTTAGTTTGTAAACATTACATTTGTATGTTAATGAGTCTTGCTTTGTTGAGAATTGCATATTTTCTTCGTTCGTATGTGAAAAGAGTAGAAAAGTTGCGAGAGTAGAAGGCTACGACAAACTACATTTGACATATTGACATTAGTATTAAGTTTTTTTATTCGTACTTAGCCTTAACGACAGGTTAAGTTGGTTGAAAATAACAAGACCTGACGTGGCAGTTCGATAGGCAGCAGAAAAGTAGCGACGAACCACGAGCTCGGAATAGCATTCCGCTGCAGTTCGAAACAAAGCAAGTATAGGGGGCGCACGTTGGTCACAATGATGACGAGTTGGGTTTCTTGTCAGGTGATGGGGTCAAGGCGCTGTCATCAGCGTTGTCGTGTCGTGGTTTGCCTAGCCGTTGTCGAAAAGAATCGGGTTACTCGGTGTCGTCGACGATCCCTGCTGGAGAACAACGACGGCCGAAGACGTCGGACGACTCGATTCGTTGTCTTTGACTGGGAAGAGCTTGACCAGTCGTCACTCTCACCGCTTCTCGTTCATTGTTCTGCCTTGCCACTTACAGCAGCTAGAATGCAGTCCCTCGTATAGGTGGCTGCACGCGCGCTACCGCCCGCCCGCAAAACAGTGAAAGTGAAATCGACCGTAATACAGACAGCAAATAGCAGCCGTTGTCGCTACCACCGGAGGAGCAGTGAACCACAGCCTACTATAAGATATCATGATATCGTGTCGAAGAGCACGACGGCTCTCGCTGTTGTCGTTACTGGAAGAGGGAGACGACGCAGAGGGCTGCCAAGAAGTCCCCAATAAGAACAGTCACTATGAACTACTGCTGCCAGCATCATAATGCATTAACTGTTGGTGATCACCCAGCTCGTGGTCGTTGTCTGCCAGTCTGTCAGAGGTATTTCGTCGGAACGGACGAGAGCGAGGCCAACTGAAACAACTCCAACTTTACTAACTGTGCACAAGAGAACTTACGAACAGCGATATAATATCTATAGTTAGCATTACCTATTGTAACAGAAGTAACTTGCATGAACTGCTACAATTGACAGCAATAGCGCTGATCAGGATATCGGTACGATGCTTCTTGTCGTACACTTGGCGTTAGTCAAGATGTTCCTTCCGCGAAAATGGAAAAGGAGAAGCGACCGAGATAGTGTTAGTGTCACACGCCAACGTGTATTCGAAGGTCCGGTGGGTTACACAACAGATTTATTAACTATAATCGTCGTCCTCAACACAATGCCGTTGAAGCATTTGCACTGAAATCACCGGCAGTGGCAATAGCGGGGCATTTCGATGCGCGCAACGGTAGTAGCTGGCGTTTCAGCAGTAGTATAAATAGATGCATGGCTGATATGTCAAACAGAGCGTGTTCAGTGATAAACTCACAACAACGTCAGTAAGACTGAAATATGCCTGAAGACGACAGCCCCGGCGGTTACAAAAGTGCGGCAACTGCTATCAATTGCGATGATGGTGGTGACCATGCTAATGCGACCGATAGCGTCTCGCAAAGGTCGCGGCGGCGGCCGTCACAGATACATTTACGGCGGGGATGCATCTGGGGTGTATCTACAACTACTTGGGGAACAGCTTGTTGACGAATAGGACATGCAACCAGGAAGCCGGACAGAAAGCCGCTAAGGGAGGAATGCTTCTTCTATAAAGGCTTGGAACTGAATTTGCTTACATATGACTTGTGCGCTACTTTATCTGCTTGTTTATACGTTTCTGTGAGCGCCAGGCGATCTGACTATCTTGGTCAGTCGTGATAGTAGCAGCGGCAACAGACGGCAGAACGGACGTCAGATCGAAAGCAGATCGAGTCAGGCAGGGGTCCGTAGAGGCGCGTGCGTCCTCTGACCAATATGTCGATGTTTCGCGAACTTTGATGCATGTAGAGCACCAAATCCGCAAACTGTATAGCGGCAAAAAACAGCAGTTAGAAGGCAGCAGCCAGCGAGGGAAGCAAGTATCCTGTTTTGTGGACTTTGGTAGTGGCAGAGTGGGTGGGTCAAATAGGTGCATTGTCATCTACGGCCGCGCTTAGTGATTGATACCCACCTAAAAAAGATCAGTAATTGTTTTTTGTTGAATTCAAAGTGACCAAATAGTATTGTACTTAACGTTAATTTCAGTGTCGTGAGGAAATTGGTGTTGGGTTAGCTTTGTTTCAGCTCATTCCATTTCGGTACGCTCATAATCGGTAGCAGTAGGACCATCGACCCTGTTTGTAACTGTAACGTAGCTCATGCCGACCTTCTTAATTGGCTAATCGCTCTCGTGTACCGTATGTATTAATTTCCAGAAGCGAAAACAACTCTATATCCAGTAGGTAACTGTTTAGATTCGATGATATTATACTGACCCGACCTCGCTCACATGAACGGATGCGTAGGCCTGTATTTTTCTATCAAATTTCGTACTTAGGTATTTCGGATGCCATTGAATGATAGTCGTTGCAACGTTCATGATAACAACATCAACATAATCAACAACAATAACAAGGAACGAGAAGGCTCTCGGTATACGTGTATGTGTGTGTATGTGTGTGTGTATGCCTGTGTGTGTGTGTGTGTGTGTGTGTGTGTGTGTGTGTGTGTGTGTGTGTGTGTGTGTGTGTGTGTGTGTGTGTGTGTGTGTGTGTGTGTGTGTGTGTGTGTGTGTGTGTGTGTGTGTGTGTGTGTGTGTGTGTGTGTGTGTGTGTGTGTGTGTGTGTGTGTGTGTGTGTGTGTGTGTGTGTGTGTCTGTGTGGGTCTGTATAAAACGGATCTTCCGCCCACCTCCACATTATCAATAGCTCTCATTCGTTTTGCCTAGAGTTACTACGGCCACCGCTATTGCGAGCGGGCAATTTGTTTGCATGTGCCTATTAGCGGGTTCCATTGTCTAGAAAGGAAGCTCCGCACTGTAACATAGCTGCCCGTAAGCTAGCATAGCATTATCACAGAGAGAACTACATTCGTAGTCCGTGTCGTGTCGGTGCGCGTTGACTGTCTCTGGTCGTCAGCTCTATTTAGTAGCATTTCGATCCTGTGCTTCGTGTGTCGGGGTTCAGTCGGTATAACATCACCCTGCGCAGCAGTTCCCCTCTTTCGCATTCTAATTAGCCTTCGATCTGTCCCAGAAGGACGAGACGGAAAAAGAAGGAGGAAAGCATCACAAAAAAAAATATTCTGAGAAACAAAAGTGCTATCCTATCATTTACTTGTTCCATAAACACCTAGCACCCGTGTAACAAACTCGCACAGAAGAAGCAAACAGCAAATAGCTATTGCTGACATGCAAAACGGGTATTCTTTCCATGCTTCAATGTAGATATATAGTATAGACTTTATCGGTTTGCTGTTCCTACTTACCACTCAACATCTATTATGCAATAGCTAATATAAAAAGTGGTTTCTATCGTATAGCTCGTATATAAGGTACCTATATAGTATTCTGTGCTTTTTTATACGTGTATGCATCCTGTTCTAATGTGTGCCCGTGGCGGCGCTGCGTGCGCGGTTTCAGATGCTCCAACGCCAACACTGTCAACATCGCCAACAGTCTACCCCGGCGGCCTAGTCCAAAAAAAAGGAGTTGCCAGCGGTTCTAAGGACGTGGATAGACTCGTCACCGGTGGCGTTGACAGCGCGGCTTACGATAACATGAAAGACGACAGAGCACCTGTGCGAAAGCGGCCATTTGAGAAGTCAGAAGAGGAGCTGCTCGAAGAAACGGCCAAAAGCAACAAACGAATTACGTCACCGTTTCTCACGCTATTTCGCAAAAAGTCAGCGCGACCAGTTTTGCAGCCCTGGGCTCACCTTATGTCCATCCTAGACAACTCGTACGACGGAATCGCTAAGGTAAGAGTAGCGAACCCATGTAATAACTGCACTAACTAAGCGCTGCATAATAATAATAGTTGTTGTCCTAATTGTAATTGAATAAGAACACGAAAAAAAAAATTAAAATTATAGTAAGGCGTACAATTGACACCTAAAAGAAAATTTCCGGCCATTCCATCCAAGCCATCCAGCCAAACACTATGCGCCCGTATACAGATAGGACAATTCAACAGTTATGTGATACTACGTTTCTGCACCGATAGGCTTATGATTCGGAACGGAAAGCACTATGGCCTTGTCTAAGGTAAACGTTTGTGTAGCTAACAACGTCGTCAGAATAATAAAAATATTTATTGGGGCACCGCTTTGTCAAGAAAGCAGCTTTGTACGATTAATGGCTTGTATTCGCTATTAAAATGATATCCATATAGATTATCGTCAGTTTTTAAGAATTTAATAATTTTACTACAGGTCTAATTCTCCTATTATTTATTGTTCTAAGAACGCAGCGATAAGTTAAAAAAGCAATCGATGTAAGTTCAAGCACGACATATGCGAGAAACAGAAACGCCAGGGTATTTTTACTGTATCGCTGACAATGCGTATTAAAAATTTTCCGCTAATAGACGTGTCCATACGTATCCATTGTCCTATTCACAGTAATTATTCCCTATTTAGTTTGTTAACGTTTTATCACCAATAACTTATTTTTACTATTGCGTTAATACATCAGAAGGAGAAGTAGCAGCAGCCGTAGTGGTACTGGTTATGGTCGGAAATCGCTTTCTCCGATGGATCATAGGCGACTGTCCCAACGAGATAAAACGAGAGATACAGAGTTTTTTGGGGATAATATTTTGTTTGGCAAAATTTCTGAGCCGGTGCTAAGTGTGTACTTATACAGCCCTATTACAAGCACCATGTTTTGTTGGGCGGAGATGATTGTGCGAAAAAGACAATCCATATACGTAACGCACACAAATAAATGTAAATACCCTCTGATATAGGTATCTGACGCAGTTTTTTTTACTATGTCCTGCTGTTGTTTCGCGACTAGTTTGTTTCGACCGTACCAGGCCAAGTGGCATTCACTATTTCGATCCTGAAAGCATAGGTGAGCTTGTTGATCAGTTCCTAAGCAGCCTAGGGGGTTCACACCATCGTTGTGATCATAGACGAAGTGAGTCGAACTCTTTCTTCTCCCAAAGGCTTTCTCTAGCGGCGGCCACTTCTGCCTTTGTAGGAAGGAACTTTGTCGATTGTTAAAAAGCTGTCACAAATGGATTATCTAAATGCGTTCTAACTCGGCGACGGAAATCAGATCCAGTTGACTTTCAATGCCCTGCCACTAATTTTACTTTGCACGTCATAGGATCTCGTGCGCGTTTCGATGATAGTCGACCGTCTGCTCCAGCACCATCCTTAGAGGTCACTTTATAAGTTCTAAAGTGATAACCACGAAGTGTTACCAGCAGTGCACGTACGACAACTTCTGCGCGGCGTTTCGGCTACCGTCCGTTAATTATTTCGTCGTGCAGCTTATTCCATGTGTCCTGTTCTAACTGTCCTGTCGCAAACTAAATACTCCCAGTCGATTCGTCCTTTATCATCATTTTAAATAGGTTTTCTCACATAGTGACGAAAATCACATAACGAATCCTTGTCATAATTAACCCTCATATTTTTGCCATAAAGTCAATGCAAGTCTTCAAAATACACTATTGTATACCTGTAAATGGAGAATAGGCCACATACATAGCAAGCGGCAAGTGAGAGCGGTCGGTTGGTAACTCTGTCTAATGAATCTTCCTATTCGGATGGTCAATTTTCAGTGTCTATTGAATACAGTGGACCGATGGGCGTTCAATACGTTCACACTAGACACTGCGACATGCGGACACTCACTGCCGTTCCTAATGGTGCATCTGTTGGGCCCCTCAGGATACGATCTGCTGCGCACCTTCCGCATTGAGCCTTTGGCCTTGTTTCGCTTTCTGGGGCTCGTTGAAGCGGGCTACCACGTCAGCAACCCGTACCACAACGCCGTGCACGCGGCCGACGTAACGCAAGCCATGCACTGCTTCCTCCGCGAGGGGGCTATCTTGCAACATCTAACACCTATTGAGGTTAGAAGCAAACGTATCGGATAGCCTGCAAAATGTAGTAATCTTAAGCAAAAGTTATTATAGTTACAAGCTATACCAACTTAGAATGCATCTATAATGTTGAAGTAAACATTACTTGCATTTTATAGTCATTTAAATAATATGTCGATCGAAATGTTCGATTAAAATACCTATTTGCACGTTGTGTGCAGATCCTATCCGCCCTTCTGGCGGCAGTCACCCATGACCTGGACCACCCTGGAGTAAATCAACAGTTTCTCATCGAAACCAAGAACCACCTAGCTGCGTTGTACAATAAAAGTAGTGTTTTAGAAAACCACCACTGGCGGTGTGCCATCGCCTGCCTCCAGGAGTCGGGCTGTCTTAGCCAGCTCGACGACGACAGCTGGAAGAAGGTTCAGACGGCCATCAAGAGCCTCATCTTAGCCACCGACATCACTAGGCAGCAGGAGTTCATACTAAGGTTTCAGGTGAATTGACCATCTCTGACCACCTTTATATCATTCAGCTAAATGACAACCCACGTCATTTAGGTGATATGGCAGCGGTCTCTATAGCCAGAATAGTTAGAATATATATTTTAAGAAAAAAAATGTATGTTACACTCAGCTGGTGTCATTCGCAACTTCGTTCGAATACGGATGCGTTCGTTTTATGTAAGGTGTAGTGCTACTACATTTAGTTTGTAAGTAACGTTCATGCTAATTTGGTGTACATTGCAGCGCTACATGGAGAGTGAGTCATTGGACATGACGGATTATGAGATTCGGCACTTTATTCTCCAAATTGCGCTCAAATGTGCAGATCTGTGCAACCCCTGCCGTCCTTGGGATACAAGCTTGCAGTGGAGTATTCAAGTGTGCAAGGAGTTTTATCGGCAAGGCGACTACGAGCGTCGTCTACGGATTCCTGTCACCCCGATTTGCGATCGCCATAAGACGATTATTCCGAAAATTCAGGTGGACTTTTTCAAGTTTGTCGCTTATCCGCTCTTCGTCCTCTGGCATGAGTTCCTCAAAACGGATCTCTCCCAGGAGCTGTTGCTCCATCTGAAGCTCAACTACACGCAGTGGGAGAAACGCATCCAGAGGGCGACTCAAAAAGGCTCTCTTGAAACTGACATCAACGCGCCGCTTGCGTCATCGGAGGAAGACCTTTCGGTCCTAGGGGAGGAAGATGCAGACCACGATCAAGATGACGATTCGCTCTGCTCCCTCAATAAGACGTCCATCGACGTCTCCCTTCTCGAGGCGACTTCGTTTTCCGCCGGTAAAACTCTAATCTACGAATTCATCACATGATACATTCTATCGTTCGTAGTAACAAGCTGCTAGTAACCATTGTTTTGGTATATTTTACAGGAAAAAAAACACCGTTTTACTCATCTTCTTGTCTATCAAGTTTTTATGCATAAATGAAACCGTTACAAAATGTTCGACTCTTCAGTGCATGCAAACAATAAAAGCTGCGAATAGTGCCTTTTATGCATTTATGCTAATGCTATTCGTCTGATATTTTAGGTACGTGGGGTCGTCGACATTCGATGCCCCTACAGCTGTCAAAGTACCTGCCCAAGCCTCTGATCCTCCGACGTCGAAGGCAGAGTCTGCCCAACAGGCATCCTTCACATCGCTGGTCTGTTGTAACCAGTCCGCAGGGCCGAAGGGGCTCTGACTCTGCCCTCGGCCAGGCAGGTTATTCCGGATACTCCTGCTCCTCGGCGTCGGCATCTGGCTCTCGCTTCCTACCAGACCAACGTTATCCCGGACAGCCCAGGACATTAAGTGATCAGTTGGCTGCTTTAGGTTGTCATGGGCCGGATGCATTGTCCGATGTCCGCGGCGACGAACGAGAGAGCCAAGATGACGACAAGCTGCGATCAATGCATCGCCACCACTTAGCTGACCCTACAAGGTACGTTATAATCTCTCTCTCTCTCTCGGCAGATATATATATATATATATATATATATTTGCTATTTACTGTTAATAATTACAAATAGTTTTTATCTGCATGAATTTGATAGTACTACATCTATATAAGTGTGGATTTTCTCTGCGAGCGCCACGCTACGGATGTTTCTAGAAAAATTACGAAGCTGGACTTGTTTTACGCCTAATATATGCTGTTTAACTCTGTTATGTTGAATACTTGGTATTCGTTAGATGTTTTACCATGAGCGTTGGTAAAAGGAATTAATTGTATCAAACATTGTGTCATAGCCTACTTGAATTCTTGTGGTCTTTAAGTAGTAGTTGCTTTCTAGTCCCAGCAATAGAGCTAGCAGTGAGACAATGAGACGCTTCCTTTCGTCGGTTACGAGCACATATAAACGCCATCAGGACTACTGACAAATGTTAAATCCCACATCCGCCGGTAGCGACGAAAGACGTCACGCAGAGCCTGGTGCTTACCGTGTCTCCGTAACTACGTGTAAAAGATATATACTACTGCCAGGTAGACTCACAGACGATAGGAGCTCAACCTCGAATAATGTGCGGTCATCAAACCGCAGTGATCGCTTGCGAGGATGTGGCGCAAACTCAGATACAAAAAAGACACGCACACATACACACACACACACCCATGCATGCATTAATAACAATATCTCGTTTATATATTTCATCACACATCGTCACCGAGCCGCCAAAATCGACGAAATAACATATCTTGGAAAAAAACAAACGCTGCTGATGGCCGTATTATATTATATGCCATACAATATTATACATATTTGCAGTAGTGATAATGACGCCAGCGCTATTCTATATATATATATACATGCTTCATACAAGTCAGATATTTAGTATGTGATGTTCTTACTTCTATAGGCGGCGATCCGAAAGCTTCCTGGATGATGAGGACGAGCTCAGCAAGGTTCTCCGCAGAAGTGAAGAGGCACCTAATCTTTTCCTCGATGTCCCAGATGGCGGAGAACGGGAACGCGGTGAACGTGGAGAGCGGGGCCATTCATACAGTAGTGATGCCAGCTCGTGCTGCAGTGATGGGGTACATTGTGGTACACCTCCACTAAATGAGGAGGATTCCAGCGATCGACTCTGTTCTGATGGTTGGTATCGCATCTAAAGTTATATAATTTATTTAGACACTTCGAACAGATCCCCATGGTATTTGCCTGCTATTCTTAGGGACATGCCGCGGTCTAGCTTCCGATCTGGGCATAGAGAGACAGAGACAGTTCGTTTCGTGGTGGGAGCCAGTTGTCTCATAGAATTGTCTAACAGCAATGTCGAACGTAAAAACTCGAAGCTTAAAGGCACTCAGAATAGACATTTGCGTTGGATTAAAAATGAAGTGCAATCAAGCTTTAAGTGTTCGTATTTTTTGCCCAGATGCCACGCCATGTTTTTTTTTGCAATAACCCTAATGATAGTATTTGCAGGCGCCTGTCTATTGCATATTTATCTACGATGCTTCCAATACGAGCAACGCTTTCCTTTCTTCTCTTTGCTTTTCAAAAACACCTGCAAAAGGATCCTGTCTTGTTTTACAGCTATTTTATCGCACGCATAGCTATCAGCATTAAAACACACATATACGCACCAATGGCCATATCTATAGATATTGTTCGATAGTCGATTGAAGTTCACTAATCGATATAGAAGGTTTGAGGAAAAGAGACCTTTGTCTTATTTTTGTACGGTCTCAGTATATGATTATATTGCAGGACTGCATTGCGAAGAGGACTTAGCACCGACAGCATGGTCACATCGTTTATCAGAAGTCGTTGAAGAGCCGGCATCGCCTCCACCTCAACGAATGTTAAATCGTCGTTCATCGGCGCCCATTGTGTTGGCATTGGTATCCAGCTCGTCGAGTTCGTCCAACTCGAACGCATCGTCACGTCGACAAAGTGGCGATGTCCGACGCGGTTCCTTACCGGTCGACGTGCATTTGATGGCAGGTTGTGCTGCCCAGCTGCTCAATAAACAGGTGGCACAAGTGGCCATTCCGGAAGTGCCACTAGGCACTACTCCGGGTGCACGCAGAGGCTCTTGCCCAGTGAATCTGTCAGCCAAGTATGCTGAGTGAAGAAAACTGGTCTGGTTCGGCAACCCAAGTCAGGGCCCAAAGTCTATCGGTAAAACACTTCGTTAAGCTGGACCAGTCACGACTGTTCTATTGGTTGTTTGTTGTTCTGGTTACATACTACTAACAACATTTATCGTCGCTGCCACGAGAACGACCACCCCCATTAACGCTCACGTCACTCGACGTGTGCCACTAGCCAAGAGGCGGAGGCGCGCCCACGATAATAAAGGCGCTGCAGCAGTCAGGCAGGCTGCGACCTTTCCTCCTTAAGATCTGCCACGCCACGTTATTCATACGTTGCTCCGACTAACTACACATGCGACACCGCATTTCCCTTCTGCGTCACCAGTTCGGGATACGACAAACTCCTCAAGACGAGAATGTAGTTACAGTAGACACTGGCCGCCGACATTTCTTCAGGAAACAGCTTCTAGTAATACGTATCGGTACATACATACATACATACATACATTTTGCATAGGACGAAAAAGCGAAAAAAAAACGACCGACTCCAGACGATACTGAATAAGCAGATAGATACAACAACAGCAGAGTATAATACTAATAGAAATCATACTAACTAGTCCAGCAACAAAACTGAGACGGCGATAACAATTATGCAGATTGAGAACTCCAGCCTTAGCCTTCCCTTCAATTAAGGCACGCCTGATTATTATGGTTATAATTATGGCGAACGTCAATGAGAAAAAGCCAGTTTTATACTGAGTTTTAAGTGGTCGGCCAATGATCCGAAGCAGCACGAAACCGTCTACAACGTAATATAAAAACGTAACACACGAAGGGCAGTACATGACACGCAAAACAACGGCTAGGACAGCACGAATTAACGTGACTGGTCAATAAGTGTCAAGCGTTGCCATGAAACGCGTATCGTCGAACGCGGAAAGACAGAAAAACCTACAGAAGGAGAGTGGAGCAAAAAGGAATCAAATAAAAGAAGTATATATAAGAAACCCTTGAAATCCCGGCCACTTACTCTGGAGCAAACACTTCTAGATATATCTTTTATTATATACTAGATTTCACTACGTGCGTCCCATGAGGCGCACACAAGAAATGGAAGGTGGGAGTGAAGCGTGTGTATTATGTCGGTTTGTGGTGATACAGAAGGTCGTCTGAGTAAACATAATTGAAGGATAGAATTCAAACAATACTAACGCGATAGTTTGAAGTGTAGGGCGACAATCTTTTATATGATTCCCTATAGTACATTAAAGCCTAATACACATATATTGACGAATATTGCACGAAAGACGATAAGGAAGAAAGCGCGTCAATTATGTTATCATTATGTTGAACGCACGAAAAGAAACCATTCTGAAACGCTGATTATTATAGATGTGTTGAAAAATGATCATAGTTCGATGGACGAAAGAGTTGCAAAGGTGAATGCGTCGAACGACTGCATCTCTTGAAGTGGATCCTTGAAGGGCTTAAGGCATTAGCTTAATAATCGGAACGGTCATACTGACTGCTCAAAGTCTGAACGTCCGCCATAAGTGTGCTATAAGCCAGAAACATAGACAAGATTCGTCAGATAAGAAACCGTATATGGCGTTCATCAATGTAATGCATCATTAACAAGTAACCAAAGATAGTAACGCGGAACCAACTGTATAAACGTCAATTTGCGTACTAGTACACTCGTACTGTTTGTCACAAGTTCTACGACCCTAATATTAACAGTGGGCAAAATACCGGCTTTGTTAGTAAAAATAAAGAAAAGGCGAACGACCTGCGACCTATGAAAGATCGAAAGCAATCGATTGAGCGGCGCAGACTTACCTGTCTGCGTCTCTTTCGGACGTCGCAAACGTCGGAATCTTATAACTTCAGAGTAAGCTAGCTTCAATAAATGCGTCGTCGATGTAACAACGATGGAAAATGGAACAAACGTAGTTCAAAAGTGAAACTTAAAAGTCGTAGTAGGGGGGAAACACTAGTACTGAGGCGGGGAACGGGGGGAGCGCATATCTTTGATAGGCATCTTCCCTCAGCAAGGACAGCACCTATTGATTGTGATTGTATGCGTGTGCGTATACGTGAAATAGCGTCTGTTTACTTGAGATTTGTGAATGAATACGTTTCATAATGTCTGTAATCAATGGCAATGATAACACACTGCCACGCTACGTGTACTACTACGACTATGACTATGACTACCAACAATCGAGTGGCAGCAGACGTGCACAACAAACTGCATGAGAACCGTTCCGAAATATATCTGTTGTAGTACGCGTACCAGCTAGCTACGATACGATGCATAGCTCAGCGAGCGGCCCTAGGGAGGCCACGGACTCGATGCGGTCGTTGGCGGGCACGATGTCAGCAAAAAATATATCAAGCCGGAAAATAAAAATAAATAGAGACAAGTAGGGAGGATGCGAAATGAAGCATAAAGGGCATCTAGAAAAGGCGCGAGTGTATGTAGTAAGACCGGAAGGGAGGCGGAGGCCCCAAACAACAACACACTGCCCCCACTCGACGATAACTGTCGCAGGTTCGAATGATTATGATGATAGTAATAATAACAATAGTAATAATTATATCGATGACAATATATTGCAACACGATAATAATGCGAGAAAAAAGGAATCAGCATCAGATCACTACTGTTATTATATTTACTATTTGTATGATGATCAATAATCGAACTGCTAGTGTAATCATCAATAATACAAACAAGAAGATTTAATGTGATGTGGATACAACTGGCCGCTGCGAAACACTGCCCCCGTTCATACGCCAGCCCTCTCTCCCCCCTTCCTACTTAACAACAACAAGCACCATTTAATCATAATAATAATAATAGTAGTAAAGGTAAAAATGTTGAACAACTTCAGCTTTTTCAGCGTAACGGTCGCAAAGTATCTGCCAAGCCCTTTGACAGAGTATTTACTCATTACGTTCTTCATTTCTGATATATAGTACTGCTTCGAGAACGATCGCGAAGGGACCCATCTTTCCGACAATATTACTCTTATGTGAGCTTCAGTGCAATTATACACCTGTAAGCCGACATGTTGATTCGACTCGACTGCATAATATGACACTGGTTTTACTTGCCCTTGATGAGGCATCCGGCGTAGATAGAGTGAATTGTCTCTGCGGATATTGGTTGCAAGCGCGTCCGACACTGTCACTCATCGAGTTGCTAAGGGTGGTTCCTTCTAGGAAGTTCAACAGACACGAACTCATTCGAAATGATGGGCTTGAGCATATTTATTTATTGACGGATATCAAATCTTCCCGTCTCAAAATGACATCACTATGAAGCATACAATTTCAGAACGTCTAGAAGAAATGTAAGTGAAGAAGAAACGATAAGAAAGACAGGTGATTACGACTATAACGGGGTAAGGCGTGCCGAATGATTTTATCCATTTGGAACGTTTGTGTGTAAAATAGTGATAGACAAGATGAAAAGGTGAGACAAGATCCGTAGAAGTGACGTGACTACCAAATGAGCTGCAATTTAAATGAACGGAATATGGAGCGACTGTTGAATCAAAATACGAATTTTCTAAAAAAAAAAAAATGCCACTTGACCTGCTCCCTATTTTGTCGTCCGTCTTTTTGACATTTCGACAGTGAATCGTCATTTTTGTGTAACGATGCTTTTTTGTAGCAATAATGTGGTACAGCAACGGTAAGATGGTACTAGCTGACTAGTAGAACGATAACCCGTTAAGTCATCTATTACGATACAAGCAGGCTTGTTTTTACGGCTCCCATCTATCATTGATACTGCCACTGATCGGTCATTGACAGCAATTGCTTCTGCCGGCTGTATCCACCAAACTACATGACTGTTCTCTTTCGTATCTGTAACTACTCTTCCCTACAATGAAGAACATTTCACTAAACAATACGGATCAATGGAACACAAGGTGTGGATCATAGTGATTATTATCATATGATATACTAATTGTGACAGCATTAAACCATAGATATATGCATATTAGTAACGAACGACAATGAGCGAAATTGATGGAAACGGAACACATATATATATATATATATATATATATATATACATATATACATATATATACATATATACATATATATATATATATATATATATATACATATATACATATATATATATAACAACAATAATCTAGTCTACAACAACATGATCGAGTAATCACGCATAAAAATAATCATGGCTGATTTTTTGCAATGAATTTGAACGGGTGGATACGAGTGATATCAACGTATGATTGTTAATGATGGCAACACAATGATGATGATGATGATGACATTGATGGTAATTATACAACAACAATAATTATAATGATATGATGAAGAATGATGGTTATGTGAAGATGTGAATGATAAACTTCGCCGCCGAATAAATGAAAGTGAACGTACCACATGAGGAACTGTTCCATTACGCTCCGTCAGCTCACTAAATCGCATGCAACAAAAGACCCACAATGAAACTGAGTGTCGGCGACGAACTGATGGTGATGACGGCATTGGTAATGGTCTGTCTATTGTCATATATAAAAATCCCATTAACCTAATCTGGAGGCACGATCAGCATCTCCCTAACAATTCCACCAATCGACCATTATTATAGTTTTGTTTATTCGTAATCAGAAGATTTATAATTGTAGCAATGATTTAATATTATGCAAAAAAAAATCTTCATTTTTATCATGTCGTTGTTGTTGTTATTAACTAAATGTATCCGTTATTCATTCATCGATAGGGCATGAGCAGCAAGGGGAAAATGACGGACCAAAAATGATCGTAATAACATAAAATAGTGTCGTACCACTAGGAGATTGCCCCTGTCTGCTTGATAAATCCTCGATTGATAGAATAGTGTCTCGCTAAAACTGATTCATCTCCGATTGCTAGCGTAGGTACCATAGGTTATCTGTGCGAAATGGAACAAACTGCATCAACAACAGTAAGTATTTCTCTAATCATAATATTGTGTTGTCGAAAACGTATTGATCGTTTTCTAGTTATATATCTCAGCTGATATGAGTCGCGTCGAACCGGCTTGGGCGTCACTTGCAAATCGGGATCTGGCAGTAGTCCATGTGAGACGCTTTTATTTAGGCTTAAGACTTCAAAAATTCTCTATATTTACAATTTTATTAGGACAAATGCACATATTCTGGTTATAACCGTAAGTGTGTGTGTGTCGTTTATGACCGAGAGAAGGGTGTCGAAAGAAATGACTCAAAAATAGTCATGTCGCAACTCGTGAATATCCATGATGCTACGAACCAACCGAACATTTACCACGATTTGAAGAAAGCTGGTTACAAAGAAAGCTCGATATTTAGGTGCCACACGAATTGGCGCGAAAGATTTGACTTAAAAAAACCCCACCGAAATCGAGCCCTCTATGACGCAGTTGATCACAGATTGTGAAAAAATGGGTTACGTACAACAACGGCTTGCAAAGAACAGGAAATCAAAAGACGTGCTCCACACTCTACGGCAAGGCCCAGAACAACGATAGATAAGGCGACGTTGAACGATGAAACTGGAAAAAAATCGCGCATAATGAGGTGGTGCCGCCTTACAGTGCGATTGACTAAAGACTGATACTATCAACAACAAACAAGAGCTCATTGAAAAATTTGAATCGACCGGAATTTGTAAATAGAAAAGGCGTCGTTTTACTTCCACCATGACAATGCCATACCACATACATATGTGGCTGGCAGAAAAAAGTGAGGGAACTTTTAATGCATCTGTCGTGTACGCCGGATTTCGTACCATCCGACTATCTATGCAGAGTACCCTTACTAATTTCAATAGAGAGGTGCAATGATCACTTGTCACAGTTTTTTCCCACGTACCAGAGAAGTCCCCCGGGCGACAACGTTATGGTGTTAGTAGAAAAGTGTATTAATCAAAAGAAAAAAAAGTCTAAATTGGTCTTCGGATAATAATTTATTGGTGGATATTTTTCAGTCAGTGAGTTTCAGCATTGACAATTTGTGTGCAGACCGAGTTTGGCTACATTTCGATAGTAGCCTGTGCTTGGTTCTACCTGTGACACGACGTTTAATTGCATCTCGTTCAGCTGCACTTCACCGAAATCTTGGTCACCGAGAATCTGTCAATGAAGCACACTTCCTATTTAATTATTTACATATTTAAATAAACAATTGTTTAAGTAGCCTATCAAGCTAGCGTTTCGAATATTCTATACAACAGAGTCCGAACGACTACAATAAGCGCTTCCGTCGATAAAGGCAGTAACCGCTATAACTATTTGACGCTAAGCTTCAAAATATATTATCTGGATAGATAAATGAAAATTTGATTGAACACTGACAATTTCATACCTCTAGAATTTTTTTGGCGCTAAATGCTTTAACATTCTCACAGGATCCTCGGCGACTTTTGTGGCTGGAGTCTACGACAGCATGGGGCTCCTTTGCAAACTTCGAGTTCACTACTGTCATATGCAATTTCAGATGATCTCTATCTATTGCTAAATTATCTGCCATTAGAGAAGATTGACGAAGACGCGTTACGATCGCATCGCACAAATCTTGCAATCTGAAATCGATCTCACAGAAGTTCCAGTTCCAAATTTTCCATATTAGCCCGGAAGCGTTTATTGAACATGATCCGATGTGATGAGCTCTAATTGTACGTATTTGAGATATATGTGGCCAACAGAAGGCAATTGCTCGTTCGAAACAAACGACTAAACTATATTACACAAATTTGTCTAAATTGAGATTCTGAGCACCATGAGAAACTGCAGGTACCTGTTTATCCATTCAGGCGGTCTTGCATGCGGCAACCGCAGTTCAAAATAAAACTCCTATGCGCTATAGGCAGGTGAGAAACAATCTCATTATCGATAGGCTATTAGTAACCACTTATAATTCCTGCGGTCAGATCCCGCAAGCGATGACCGTGGCTTTACGTACGGCAAATCATTGTAAACGCTACAAATGGATAAAACGAGCATCTGTTCCACGAAATATACATAGACCTATTGTAGTCTTTAATCGTGCATTTGTGCTCGTATAGCTACCATACGGTTATCGCATATAGCCATACACCAACGCAGAATAACGACTATACGTATCCACTCCTATGATTGAACGAACCGTGTCGCCTGGAGGGTCCAAAACGAGTGCCGGCTTCTTGCAAAGTTGTACCTCGGAATGAATCCAGTGGATAAAGCCTACAATAGCTATTCTTCAGAAAAACGAGAAAAAAAATCGACGATGGAGCGGCAGAGCTCATACTACTCTCGGACCATAGGTCTCGCGCAGGGTAATAACTTCAGCCATCTACTGTTTTCGACGTTTCTGACGGAGTCCGGGGGCACAGAAATATTATGAAGATGATCTTGTACTCTAACGACCCGATTACCTATGGACGTAGCCCTTTCCAGCAAGCTTTAGCTAGAATGCATGTAATCTCAGTAGAGCTCGGCTTTACTGTGAGTTCGACAACGATGGTGATGATAAGATTTCTTAAAGACAGCGGGGATTATTTTTCAAAACGCACTCCCTATCGCCTCAACGCTGCCTCTCTTCGACTCCACCGCACGGCACGAAATCGGCTAACTTATACCCGTTACAGTAACACCTTGGGACGACGTTTCGACTTACTGTCTATCCCTACGTTTAACGAACGTCTCGCGAGGACAGATTTGTGGGGGGGGGGGGGAGGATGTAGGGTTCGACGAATTTGGAGTACTAAACGTCTCAACCTGCCATGCTGCAAGCAGACGCGCAGTGCATAGCATCCAGCATAAGATAGGTGCCAATAAAAATTTCGTGAACTAAATAAGATATGTATATCTATGAGATTCGGAGAACAGTCTGATATGTACAACGCCTCTCGAGGACCCTACGTCATCTTACTATTAAGTTTAAAATTTTAATCATCCAAAAAATACGTTGTTTCTGATCTTCTCAGAATTCTTACAAGAATATATTTCTACCAGATAATACTACGTCATAGATCTACCTGACACTAATAAAAAAAATTTACTGAACTGGATAATAAGAGGTATTCGCGATGTGGTCTACTGCATACACAAGCCAGTTTCGTAGGTAGGACCTGTAAATATGCCCTAACTATGATAATTCTTAACAGACGGCATAATCACAGATTTTTCCAATTGGCATTTTTTAACTTTTTTTTTTTATCTATTACTAATTTTGTTCTCCATTTTAATAAGCCCTGCCTAATACTTTTGCTGCCAAAGTAGGCGAGTAAAAAAGTTATTCTACTTGAGTTTAGTTGCTTTGAATGAAGCTTTGAGTAGAGGACTTAGTAGACTAGTGTTATGTTCAGGCTGCTGAACCTGCCTATCGAGCGAAAGCTACCGTCATTCACAATAGTAAGAGCTAGTAATTATTACTAATTTACACCATTTAGTGCTGCTAACCTTCCGGCATCGTTTCGTTCCTTTTCTACTATCTTCGCGTACAGTACGTCCACCATATCTGGATCATCGTTCATTATTTCTAAGCCACGAATCTAGGAAACCAAATAAGAATTAACACAATTAGAGAGAAAATGCATGCTGTAGCCAACCATCTTCATCAGTATATTAAAACGGACTCAAAATGAGTTTTCATAGGCGCAGTTTACACTTTCAGATATCAGCTTTAAGTACTTGATCAAAAACGACGTATTTGTAATTCAGTGTTTAGTATCTCCGCGAGGGTGTAATGGTAACGTATTTACCCACTAAACCTAAAGACATGTAGAATAGTCCAAACACAGACACCTTGTATTTTCTTGTAGGGACTAACCGTCTGAAGTAATTTTTAATGAAAGAACTGGTCGAACAACTCGAAAAAGTAAGTATACAGGTGAATAAATGCATCAATACTTTACAGTGATTTGTGAGAAAAATCAACCTTCCAAAAACCGTGCGACATTTTTTGGCACTTTTTTCTTATTTTTGATATACGCTTATACATTTTGGAATCAGATATCGCTTACTCCTTTAGGCTTTTAAAAGGCAAACCGCAAGGAGCCAAGAAAAATCACAAAATCAAATAGTTTATGAATATCAGCCACATTGTGGAACTACAGCGGTTGACTACTCCAGAAACACCACGTGTCATCCAAGAAGAAAATTTAGTATTCGTAAATATACCGTCCTGGTTGAAACGAGTCAAATACCGTAAAAGAACTACGATTAGAAACTGGTTAAAGTTTACTGTCTCGCATTTCACACTCCACGACTTAATTTATTTAGAAAATTCATTAGCGGCAAGACATATGAGATTAACGCCCCTCCGTACATTTAAAGGCCTTTACAGAGAACAGTGAATCGCTTTTTATTCGACACAGCCTCTTGTAAATGATCTTGAACTTTATATATTTAGGAAGCACATTCTTAACGTGCTTATTACCTAACGGAATAAATTTTAAATAGAAATAATTACAGTAACTTGTATACGATGGTAAGAGACAAATAAGAGATCTATTACCCAAATGACTATAGGTTCTTTTCCCACGTGTTCAGCTATCAGGTCTTCACATCCAAGCAAAATCTCCGACGCTTGGGCGACCTCAGTTTTATCTTGTAAGCTGAGGCAACATATCGTCAAATGAAGTTTGCACGGGCGAACAAATAGCTCCTTCGTAAGGGTTGACGATGTCTGCAAACGCGTAATGCTTTTACTTGCGCGTGTTCATTTCAGCTCAACTACCCACAACTATAATAGACTTAAAACATAGCTATTTATTGAATGCGACACTCTTGAATACTACCGGTTTCAAACTATTTTGATTTTATATATGTCACTATAGTTATTCGGGTACAGCCATTTTTCTTAATGACGAAGCTCAGTATCGTCCTACTGTTGAGACATACATGTGACCAGACTAGTTGAAGACTAACTCATAGAAATAGATTTAAATTGTTCAAGAATGAAGGACATTAGCAGTAGATGGTTCGTTAGCGGCAAATGGTTAAGCTAATTAAGCAATACACATAAATAAAAGCGCCAGCATGTTTGGGTGAGAATCGGCTTTGCTTTTAAAGAAATCTGATTTTGTTGTTCCTACCGCCATTGCCATACACTGGAATTCTTGTAGATTACGCTTAACGACGTCGAACGTAAGCGGGATCGAGATGAAATGCGTGAAGCAATCCTGTAGTCTCGCTTGTTTTACGATGGCTTGAATGCGTGCTAAACACTCTTCTACACTTTGGTGCGTGTTGCCTAGGATGACTGGAATGTAAACAAGTGACTTGCTGTAAGCTTACTTCGACAAAACGTCAGCGATAGTACCTCCGCTATAATAATAAGACAGTACCTAGATATTTTACTCTTTCAAGTTCATAACATGGTCCCACAAAACACTTCGATGACAATTAGGATTACTTAGCATGTAGAATGCTATCGGGCTTAGATATAGATACTTTCAGTCGATATGAACAGCTCCGCACGAGCGGTGTCAGCTCGATGTGTTCAACAAAACGACCACTACTCTATGAAAAAAGCTTGATTTGTTTCTATTGAAAGATACTGCATCATTATAGGCATCATAATGACACATTCGGGGATGAAACAGAATCACTTATATGATACTACACATGTACTAGGTCCACCCATATAGGGCTCTTAGAGTATTTATTTACCTAGTAATCCGACGAGCTGCTCAGACTCGTAGATTCAGCACCGGTATCGCAAGCTTTTACAGGTTTAAACTTATAAAAGTTGTAATTGTCGTCACACATGAATAAATCATTATCGATCTTGTGAAACCAAATATCATTTCTTTTGATATTACGTATTTGTATACAAATCGTAAAACTGAACCTCTACCATCGACGGTAAATAAACGTTATGATGTTATATTATTATGACTGTGCCTGTCACTCGTAGTAAACTGCGGGGTTAAGGTGCGCATTTGTAAAGTTAAACAAAAACAAATGACGGAATAGAAACTAACCAATGTCGTCATTAGAGCCCTTTGAGGGTATTCGTATTGAGGCTCCAGTATCTGCTTCTATCTCCTTTCGACGAGAATGTTGCTGGCCACAGAGTCTGCCCAAGTAGCGATCTGGAACATGGTATCTTAAGCAGATATTTGCCTCCTGATTGTTGGTTTCCTCCTCAGAGAATCCTGAGCAGCCCGGTTCGTTGTCCTCAACGTAATCTTCGACGTCTTATATATGTATATAAAAAGCATCAAGCAAAATTCTGATTTTAAAGCTTGAAAGTTTTGATATTACATCTGTACAACACATATTTGCATACATCAAAATATAGATATGTTTGTCACTTCAGTTTTTTGAACTGTTAGTATGTCTATATTGAAACAAAAGGGTTTAAACACGAATAAAAATAGTGGTCTACAAAATGAATTACGGAATTTCAGGCTAATGACGTATGTTAAAAATATATATATCCAATAGAACTATACCATCCTCCTCTGGATACTGTTGTATTATTCGCTCTCTAGAGCGAAGATCCACCTCAGGATGAAGCCGATAACAAATTCCGTTTATCCATTTGAGGTCCCATTTGAGCGGATCCACTCCGCAGTCCATTTTAGCTGCTGAAATATATAAAAGTTTGAATCAGGTTAGATATCGCGCACAAAGTACTTACTCTATGATCTGTTATGGTTGTTTTGGACAAGCTATGTCCTTAACAATATCGCTACTGCAGCGGATATTCCTACGGCCATTTTACGCAACAAAGACGATGTTTTTTTTTGACGCATTCTAAAATCCAAAAATGAGTTAAACACTATTAATAAATTATTAAAATCATTACTAAGGATGTCGCTACTAAAATATACTAAAGTTTGCCCATCGCGGTTGAATAGGCCTTACTCCTCTTTTGTTGGTTAAATTAGAGTTAGTGTAAAAGTTTATGTAAATAACCAATAAAAACTTAATAATTAAATTCCTCATAACCATACAGTTCTTGTGTCTCTATTTTGACGTTTCTAGAAAGCTCGGATATTCGGGGTTTTCTTGGCACCGCGTATGGGCGTTACGAAACTACGCTAAACCACATTTGCGAGAAAAACGCAGGAAATTTTAGCAGCAACTCACAGTAACTTTACGCTTGACACGTGTTAGCATTAAAAATACGCCAGCAAATTACTGTGTTTACAAAAACTTGATTTTATCGAACTCGTTTACCAATAAGTCATGAGAGCAACAAGTTTTATTTTATCTTTGCATTCAATTCGTACAAGAATCACCATATCACGATCATATGACTAAAATCGAATTTGGCGCCATTGAAACATGGATAGTCCCGCATCGTTGGACACGTGTTGTATTGCCCATCGCCATGTCGAATAGCTGCACTTAGAGGCCGCTGTGTCCGTGAGTGCGAACAAATACAATTTTTGAGAAATTTTTGATTATCGGTATACCTGACTCGCTTATCTGTCCGTAATCAGCTGTTGGCAGCCAGTCAATCGATATATTTTACTGTATGTGTATATCCACTTGGAAATACAACGTGTTTGGTCTGCGTGGCTTTATTATACTGCTTACCAAAAGCGGTTGTCTTTTGTTTTAGAATGGTACAACCATGAACTCTTCGTAGAACGGTAAGTAAGTTAACAAACTTGAAGAGACCAATGTAGTGTTATTTTATGGTCAACAAACTCGCCGCCTGTTGGGGATCTAATGTGTCCGCAGCCGCTACCGTTCGTTCGTTCGTTCGTTTTAACGAACGAGTGGTTTCGCTTTTAGTGGTTCGGGAATTGGTAGTTTTGGTTTCGCTTTCGGTTGGACGGCGCCAAATTTTAGTTATCCTAAAGTTAAGTCTGAACTTTTCCTGGTTAACTTAGCAGGGTATATACAGTTTTTGATGTGCCCCACTTGAATTATTCGGCAAACGAATATGGGCCTCGTCTACGAACATGCATAGCCCTGGTGTAATGCATAGCTTGCTATGAGCTGAAACCGCTGACTAAAAATGGCGGAGCTGCTCAGACAACTCTTAATTTACCATTGTATTATGGAACTATATAATTAGGTGAAGGACGCAGCAATATTTCGAGGGACACCGTATTTAGATAAACAAATAAAGATCACTCAAGTGGTCGATCGATGTTGCTTGATTACAGATTAACAATATGGGTTCTGTGTTGAACAAGCACATGGTTCAGCAATCACGGTGTTTAACAACTGGTCATAAGCAAAACCACCGTCAGCCCAGTGGCTTTAGCGATTAAATTTTGATCTGAGAAAGCCAGAGTCCGTTAGATCAAGCTCCGCCAAAGTGGCAATAGCATATATTACACAATTGATATGATTATATAAATGAACGATGAAAATAGCGATTTTACATCATCTTTATTTAACAAACCTCCAGAACAAGCAGCGGTACTTACCAGAATTTATTCGATACTGTAAAAGTGTCAAATTTTCAACTATACTAAACCGTATATAACCGTAAAAAATCACATGTTATCCTTGAAGAATTTTGTGAAATGTTAACAGTGCATATAGTTTTCACAGAAACGAGGCCAGTTCTTGCAAAAGTGACACAACTAAACAAACATAGTAATAGGTTAGATAATGAAGATTTTTATGAAAAAATTCTTGATGCCATTACCGAAAAATGTCTAAACGTTAATGAATATTTAAACCCATCACGCCTAAGCTTTCAGCCTAACATGAATGGGGTTAGCAAATGCTAAGACAAACTTTGGTCGTCGAAAATAACGCAACGTCTTCTTTGGCAGGGTCAAGAGTATCTTGGCAGATGTTGCTAATTAGCTAATTCGTTGTTAGGTTATCTATTGGTATGACAACAAGTGCAAGAATTAGCTACTGTAATACGATGGGAAAAACTACACATCGAAAGCTTGCTTGGTCAATATTTTGCCGCTAGCATTTGAATAGTACTGAGTAACAGAACAGAGCTTATTTTACTCAAACACCAATAAGTTTTTAATGCAGTGTAGCAATGGGCTTCTCATTTTATTTTGTCTATTGGTCTCCCATTACACTAAAAATTTCTTAGTAATTTTATGTTAAAGCAAAAAATCAAATGTAACTAATTGACGTTTCTTAAAATTTTGACGTATCACTGCTTCTCATTTTTAATAAATTTACTTGAAGTATAGAAAGAGCCCTGGCACACATTCTACTCAGGCACAGGTATCCTGTGCTAAACAAACAAATTGTACTCGATTTCGCTAGTGTTAATTACAGAGTATTTTCCAGGATGGGGTGGCACTGCTCAAAACGCGCAGGATCAGTCGCAAACAACTTACAAGTGGCTGGGTAATATAATATTCAAGAAAAATGTTTGCGGGCCAGGAAAACGTGGAATATGTCTATATGAATCAGGCGACAGGCGAATATATGGTAAGCAACAAAGCAAGCTGCTGCTTTTTATTACATATA